GACTGTAGCAAATCTGTAAATCTGAAAGGACTTAATTAGTATCCAGGGACAGTTTAGTGGTATTTAATTAACAAAGAGACAATAAATTACTTTAAGGGGAAAAAAAAAAAAACCACAAAACAGACAACCACCCAAAACTAACCAACCTCACACTACATCCTGCTAGGTTTTTTTTAATGGAAAATTCTAATTAAAAGGAATATACTTTGCCATTTAGAATGACCACAGGAAGCAATACTTATCTTCAGTCTAGTAAGAAAAATGTTCTAGAGCCTCATTCCAACGTTTTGTCTGTGTAACAGATGGACTACATTAAAAAAAAAAGTCTTGAGAGCTAAAATAAAGGGAGAAACTAAATCATAGAAGGAAGCAGAAAATATATATATAGCTATTATTTAAAGCAAAAAACTTCAGATGCAGTATTCAGAAATTCACAGAAAAAGGACTCACACAATTTTTTAATTCCCTGAAAGAACAGACTTACATACCTACTACACAGAACTACTACCAGGGCAGGTGTTTTTATTATCATATTAAAACTTTTGCCTATTCTATTATTTTTATTTCTATTACCTTATCCCTACTGTAACAGACTGCATCTCTTCTTACTGAGACAAGATAGAATTAACCTTTCTAGTTTACTAATCTATTTGTAGAGTCTTGACTCTCCTTTATTGCGCTGTATTCAGCCTGACCTTTTCTCTCTTCCAGTGTTACTGGTCATATCCCATTAGAAGCATCTCTGTCTCTATTTCAGCATGACACAATCTCCATTTTCTCTTGTGCCAAGTTACCCTGCTTTCCTCATTACAGGCTCCTGAACACAAAGGCAGGTCTGATTAGCAGAAAACAACCCAGCGTTCTGAGGTCCAGACTGATGTAAGGAGCAACAGCCAGACTGACTTGGATGTTTCTGCATCATAAAGCTGGGGAGGGTTGGGGGCAGAGTCCAGTTGCTACACATAGTGCATGGAAAACAACTTCTTTATGTCTTTTCTCAAATCAGTAGCCAGATGTACATTTTTCCTCCACAGAGAATACTGGGAGAATACTTCAATGAGGGAGACAGCCCAATAATGGCTGTTCTTTGTGGCAAACTTTTAGATGTGCAGATGTTCATTATTGCATAGGGAACCTGGGATTCCAAATTTCTCTCTCTTTTCAAACTGGGTTCTAAACCCAGATTGAGTTCCTCTGTACTACCTTCATACCCACACAGTCTCAGATCAAATTGGATCCAGATCAAATAGACTGGTGGCAGTCTATTTTGCATATCTCATCATAAGGATGTTGTGAAGGTAGCTACACTCAGGACTGAAAGGCACACAAAAACACTATGGAAGACTGCACCTACATTTACGTAGCGTGCCTCATGTAGCATCTGCAAAATGCTCTGCCATCTATTAGTCACATAAATGGCTTTCCTTCCAATAAGACAGGAGTATGGGGGATTGCATACAGTCACACACAATGGTGCTGTCAAGAGGCAGCTGAAGTGTGCACTTGAAGTATCAGTCTCCAGTGTATTCCTGGGAATGACACGAGAGTTAATATGGGCTTTTATTGACTGCATGTCAATAAAATTGACTGCACAGCTTTTTCCATTTGTGTTTATTTGAGGAGACATATCCCATACTGAAGGAATGAAGAATATGGACATACCTGTTATTAGAATGCTTTGAAATGGGTGAAGTATCTTTCCTTTGTTAGAGAAGTAAAACTTTAATAATTCCTTACAGAATTCATAAAATTGAACCTTAACAATTACGATGTAATTTTTTAAAATAAATTTTAATTTATTTTTTTTTTTCTAAATGATACTTTCCCTCAGAATCTAGATCTACAATCTTCCAGGATTTCGGCACATAGGCAACTCCCCGTAATTCATCTTGAGAACAATCCAGACACAGTTTATGCATGTGTTGTACCTTTTCTTCCTGTCTATAGTAAAAGTATCATCTCCCCTTGTACCCATCTTTATAAAATAATAATAGAAATACAAAAAGTAAATTTTTCCCCCCAAAAATATTAATTTTAACAATTAAAAAAATTATCACTGTAACTGCTATATCAACATATGATTGTCTTGACCAGGGTGTGCTTTTGGGAATTGTCTATTCAGATAAAGGAAATCCATAACACTAAAATAATCATAAAACATTAACATTATCATTCTAAATAACTTTTCAAGAAAGAGTAAAATATGGGTGACTGAAAGAGAAACAAAGGAAAGTGAAATAGGAATGATACCCATCTTGCATTAAGGAATCACTGGCCAAATGGAAGAAACAGTTATGGCACAGGGATTCTTACAATGCAGTTTCTAAGTATTCAGCTTCTGCCCTAGGGTAAAAACTGAATGCTCATCTTATGCCATGGCAGGAGATAAGCTCTTCCTCAGCTGAAGTAACTACTTTCCTTTCTCTGTCCCTTGCCTCAAAAAACACCAGTTTGCAGTTGAGCTCTAACAAGATTTAAACTCTACTTCTTTAAGATTGACAGTTTCTCGTAGCCAAGAGATGTTCCCGTATGTACTTCAAAGGCAAGCAATGCTTTGGACCATCCCAGCAGCGAGTCCTGCTTTTGGAGTCTTTGAATTATCCATAGCAGATGCCACTAACAAAGAGAAACTGACAGTCTTAAAGTAGAATTTAAATTTATGTACAGCACAGGTCACAAAAAGAGAGAGGATTACCTTTTAAAACTGATTCCTTTTTATGTCTCTTCAGAGAGCAACAGATTGAAAGAAAAAAAAAAAAAAAAAAAAAAATAAAGAGCACACACAAAATATTCCCAAGGAACAGACACCTGCCTCCAAATCCATATTTTAGAGTACTATTAAAGTCAACATGAAAATACTTACCTGATTCCAAGCATATATAAGATTTGCTGCCAGAAACTTGAAATTTCTTATATACCCGCTTACATCCTGCCCTGTGATTAATTTTGTTCCTTAAGAGAAAAACAAATTAAAAAAAAAAAAAAAAAAAAAAAAAAGATGTTGTAGCTGGGATTACTATTTATCAACAGGAATAACTCGTATCCGAGTATGAAGGGTCTAGCCACTCCAGGAAGAAGTATTAATTTAAACTAAATATTTAATGAAATAATTCTGTACACATTTTAAATAAATTAAATTCCTGACTCTCCTTATTCACTGTCAAATGTATTTAAAATTTATTTTAAAAGGGATCATATTCTTTTGTTTTTTCCCTCTTAAATGTTTATAGTAGACACAGGTAGATCAAGTAGACCACAACATACGCAAGAAAAACTTCTTTTCCAGCTCGTTCCTATTTTGACTTACATCCTGACTTCAAAACATACTTTATGAAAAAAACAGGTCTAGCATAACTTAACAAATTATCTCTTTCAGAAAACATGGAGTATAGAGCCCATTAAACATGAAATACTTCTTTTGGGTTTGGGGAGTTTTCTTGGAGGGAGGGGAAGAAAATTACTTGAAAATACTGAGCAAAGCAGTTTCAAAGTGTTAAAACTTACCACTTTTCTAACTGAAAGGCCTGTTTTAAAAGGTTAACCTGTTTATTGTAAAACTAGTTAGTCTCCAAACAATTTAAATCAAAGTGAAACATTTCTAATTTATGTAAACCTCAGTCTATAACTGTTTCACTGAACCCCAAATTGCTTTTTCAATCAGCATTTGATTTAAATTTGAGGGAATTTTCCACTTCCTGTCCTATTTCAGAATAATACAGCAAACATCAGAAGACATTAATAAGCAGACTACTTATTTTCTTGCCTTAACTCTATAAAGCTAAACTTTAAACCTGAAGTTTGATTACCCGAGGCTTTTGGTGACATTAGCCAACAAACTTTTAGGGAGGCAGCCTCTAAACTTCACTGCCTTCCTCTCTTTTTTAAAGAGGGAAAAAAAATCAGTTATAAATAATTTTATGCACTGCCATCTCTGATTGTTCCCTTCTCACCTATTAATAGCTGTACACACACCTTATTTCAACTTAAATAGTAAGCAGGCACTCCGTCCTGCTGTAACTGCTTTTTATCCAGCAGTTAGTCTTCACCACAGGTAGCCTCACACATAACACATTGTTTCTTGATCTTATTTTTTTATTTCATGTTTAGGTAGATAGTAGCATTATGTAAGAAGGGTATCAACAATCTTCCAGCTCACTGAACCATGAGAAGGGTTTGAGGCTCACCATGCTCTTTTCTTGCCAATGACTGTTCAACCAGCATGGAAGAGATTAACAACATTTCCAAGAAGATTAAATATCTCTCGTTTGGCTAACTACCTCCCTTATATCTTCCATTACAGTCAAATTTTCCTTTTACCATGGTCTTAGTGCTGACCAGAACTAGATAAACCTCAAATCAAACAAGTTTTTTTAAAGCATTTTTCAAACATGTCCCTGTCAAGGCAAAATAAATTTTAGGGCGAGGTAAGGGAAAGGAAGCACACCGGTATATTTCTGCTGGAAAGTCAGGAGTTAATTTTTAACTCATGTAACTAGTCTGCAAAACAAGCATCCAAACTTATTTTGGTTTCAGTCCCTAGCAGCTAAAACGACGGCTCCTTCTGCAATTCTCTCTGAAAAAAGTACTTACTGAAATTCCAAAGAAACATGGCACATTTCTTAACTAATACTAGAAGCAGCGCTAGAATTTAGGTCTCCTATTTCACAGTGCATACTAGTACATCTTTGAAGTTAAGTTTTAAATAAAATAAAAAGACATCACTGTTAGCAACTGTTCAGACACTACAGAAAACACAGATAGAGCGTGACTGATTTATTGACAGCTGTGAGCTCACACACACAGAATTCAGCAACTGAGGCAGACTTATGGGAATACTTATGCTAATAAATTCACATCATTTTTATACACTACCTTGCCAATAGAAATTCTTGTAACTTAGTTAAGATTTCTTAAATTAAGAAATATGAACAGTGATACCCCTTCTCCCTCTCTTTGAGCACATAAACATATCTGCACATAGTCTAATGCTTTAGCCTTACCAGTGCTGTCATCATAAACAACAGTAACTGTTTTCCACTTGAAGAACTGCACAAGGTCAAGGATGGCACGGCTGAGTGAAGAGAAATCTGGATAGAGGCTGACATAGAAGGAGTCCTTGTTGTCTGACACCTGATGTTTCCAGCGGGTCTGGATATGTGGAACACCCAAAGCGTTGCAGATGGATTGCACAGCATTAGCTGAGGAGCTATGGGATGGTCCGAAGATGGCAGCCACCCCAAGGGACAGCTGATCACAGGCTGAATAGGAGACAGAAGTCTGTCAATGATGAGAGGAAAGAAGGCAGTGTGCCAGAAGGTATTGCACAATTCATTTAAACAAAAGGCACCCCATGAAATATAACTTTATTGCCAACAGAGCTCCCTTCCTGTGTAACACTTACACAGATTTCAACTTCAGAATACATTTCTAAGCTTTCCCTGTGAACTGATGAATAGCAACACTTAACATCGAAATAGCGCTCAGCTACGTTTAATAAACACTTCTATGTCACTGGAAGTCACAAAGGCCAGCAATTGTGTATCTTTTAAAAAGCACTGACAAGGGAAGAGATTTATGCTCAGCTGCATCTTACATTTGGAAAAGGGCCATATGGGACAGTATTCTAACCTAGACTGTTTAAGCGTTAACTTCTTCCTCAATCAATCAACACTATTTCTGCTGAGATCCTAATTATTGAGAAATTGTATGTGTTAAGTGGATTCTAGTTAAGTATCAGCCAAATTATTTATTTCATGAAGAGTAACCACGTTGACTAGCAAAATGTAAAGGTCAACGTTTTCCCTAAAAGAAAATTAAATTGCTATCTGCTAATGAAAAAAAAAAAATTATCCTTTCTTTAAACACCGGGAATCCTCAGTTTAGGAGATATTAGTAGATAATCTATTAGCAGATAAAACTGGCCCTGAGAGTCACTGACACAATACTGTTGTATTTAAGTAGCTCAGCTTTCCTCTTTCCAATATAGAGTAGCCCTACATATATTGTGGGTTAGCAGTCTCTGGTCTGTATTATCTCCCACAGCACATTCCAGTATTATCTTGTAGAATATTAGTTGGGACATGACAAAAAGGCAGCAGGAAAACTAGTCAATACTGCAGTCCAGTGTTTCAGCCCATACCCTGCTCCTGTTTAGATCACTACCATAGACATAACCTTTATGAGCCTGCAGTTCTGAAAAGTGACAGATTCATCTTCTAACATCCTCTCTGGTAGAGAGAAATAATGAAAAATATCTCCCCAATCCAATAAAGAAGTATTTGTATGAGGTTTGATTTAATTAATATTGTTACTCCACCATCAATGCTCCTGACAGCTGAGGAAACAAGCAGTAGAACATCTTGCTGCGTTACTTTTTGCAGCAAGTCAAAATTAATTGTTTTATTATGCACATACTTTTCAACATGATGAAAATATTGCTAAATCTTTCAAGTGTATTCCAGAAAGTATGCTGGCACACCTTTTTCTTACTGCAGAGCACTGGTGGTTTAAATGAACTTCTCATATACACACAAGATCTCCATTGCATTTCTAAGCATCAGATCAGGGCCTAAATGACTAGCTTGATAAAAAAAACATTTATGCTAATATTGCCCTTCCTAAGAGTAATCAACAAGCTTTATGCAAATGTCAGTAAATGGGATCACTAACAACAGCAATAGCTACCAGATGGCTTTTCAATGGGCTTTTTTTTTTTCCCTGTTTCTGAGATTTGAATAATGCAATGCTTTCACACGTGATTTGATACGGCGCTGCTCTATTAGACGCATACCGATTTTTCTAGTGCATTCAGGGATATTTTGTTTGCATTTACATTATTCTTCACCGAAACAGAATCTTGGAAATACCATCTTGCCTTCAGGTTGCTCTTTCATATAGCACCTTTAAAAACCCATTAATATTTCATCTATATTCAACTTCAAAAGTATGTGTTACAAAGAGGTCTAAACAGGCTATTTGTGATGCAGAGCCTGGCTGTTCACTAATGGACATAATCATGAACCACAAAAATGAGTCAAATGCTTAAACCTCATTGTTAAAACTCAGATTTGGAGCCATCATAATAAAATGAACCATTTTATGTTAACCTTTAGCCTTTGATTCTGAACTAAAGCACATGTCAGCACAAATGTAGTTGGCTGTATTATGAACTGATAGAGGAAAAAGCTATTAGCACTGGAAGATTGCATAGATTTTGATACAGCCTGACCAGTTACAAATAAAGAGTTGCATTCTCATCCAAGATGCAATTGGGAACAATGAATATATAAAACCTACTCAATACATCCAATCAATGGAATGCTGCCATTCTAACTTCAGCTATTATAGTCTATCAAGAATTAGCAACATAATATTCAGGCTAGCTTGCACCCTCAAGCAAACCCCAAGTAAGGGATAAACGTAGTTGTGTTGTCTCAGGAAAGGCTTAAAGAATTAAAGATCTCAGAACAAATTTCTCTGCTCTCTACATCCTCCCTCATGAGAGGAGAGACACTGTCCCATTACATTTCACAGGACAGAGTGAACTGGAGTCAGGAAGTGGTTTAATTTGGAAGATGAAGAGGAAAGGAGAAGGAAGGGGCCAGAATTAAGGATCAGCCCATTCATTCACTGTTGGCTGAGGTGGAAAGGGAAGAGTAGTCTCTCAGAATTTGCCTTAATGCACCATCCAAAAAACCAGAACAACAACTCAAAAATACTTCATTAAAAGTGTTGTTTGCCTCCTGTTGTTTTAAGATATACTTCATGTACATTCATTCTCTCAGAGAAGCTTTTTCTTACGTAGCATTTTCAAGTAGGTAAACCAAGTGAATCTTTGTTTCTTGTAAAAAAAATAAATATGCAAAAGGTTACCTTTTTTGGATGCTTCAAAACTGTCATAGAGATTTATCTTTTGGGTGTCGTATGTTAAAGTAGTGTTTGGCAGAAGAGTTCTGTTTCTGTTGATTGTGTTCACAGCGAATCTGAAGGCTAATTCTTCTGCTCCCATTGGGCCGGATTCTACACACTCAAAAATGCCTCCTAGTAGCAGGAGAAAGAAAAGAGAAAAAGAAACAAACCACTAGTAAGCCAAAATAGCATACAGAAACACCTTTAATCATCAGTTTAGGAAAACACTCAATCAGCCTGAAATTTCTAACTTAAACCTGATACAGTGCAACTCAAGAAATTGTCTCATTTTTTCAGTGAAGTAGAGGTCAAAGCAGAAATAACCCAGCAACAAACCAAACTTACCTTAAAGAAAACCTGCTTTTTTTCATACAACATTCATTTTACTACTGGGAATAAAAAAAGTGTGAAAAATATAAGCTAACCAGTCCATTTAGAAGCAAAGTAGGAGAGGGATGAAAACATGTAATTATTATTTTACATAGTTATCCTTGAAATGATTACATTTATCAACAACCATCTATGTGTAGTGGGGGGAGGGAGATTTCTGGATTCTTATTTTCTGTTCTTCTAGACTTATGATACAGCAGTAATGAACTGGAGAGTTCACTGGAAGTGCAACATATAAAGGAGCATGGAACTGGGATGCCCCAAACTTCCTCCAGAAATGAATATGTATAGATATTTCAGCATGACTGTGCGCCTGAGCGATAAATATGTTGAGCAAAGGGCTCAAATTTTGCACCAAGTAGCATGTAGATGCTAACCTCATTCTCAGCAAATACAGGAATCTAAGCAACTATAACCCACGTAAGCTCTATCATACCATGAAATCATCCCCACACAAAGCATACTGCCAGAGTAGGACACGCCTCAAACGACAGGCAATTTCTAGAGTGGTTCTCAGCCAGCTTTAGTCTTAAATGAAGCAAAGAAGTTTGGGAAACTCTGCTGTGCTTCAGCTGTTCTTTTCTCATGAGATATCCTTACCCATAAAATGTAAGTTTATACATACTTTGGAGTAATGTCATTTATTCTTGGGTCTGGAAAGGCCAAGACAACAAAAGTAATTTGAAGATGTGTCCTTACTATGGTGGCATGGAGTGCCTCAGAAAAGAAATCAGCATCCGTGTGGTCTCTCTGGTCCTTATGCTACCAGCATCTGCCTATACTAACAGAGGTTGAACGGCCATCATCTGAGGATCACAACTTACAAGCCAGGCATTGTATCTCTGCAAGAAACATTTTTCATTCACTTTCTCATAGCTTGTGCGTATTCATTTCCAAAGTAATATTGCTCCCTGGCTTTGTATTGTCTAAAAAAATTTTATTCAACACTCCACTATTTTCTGAGCAAGGAGGTCTCAGAATCTGTACAGACACCAAGTCACACTGAACTTCACAAACTACAATCAGTTTCTAAACAGTCTTGTTGAGTAGCCAAGTAATGAACCACTTCTAGAATAAAAAGAATGTGTAGTTATCAACTCTTTCCCTGTCTGAAGCTATTAAATATGAAGAGGCTTTTCAGTTTTGCAGACCTCCTGCCTCTTCCAACCTGTTTCTCACTACAGGATGGAAATGTTAACTTTTCCTGCAGATGAGCAATCTGCTGGTGAGAGCCCTAGGGGCAGATGCTCAAATAATATTAATTTAAAAGCAGAAGCACTAACCACTAAGGTAAGATGCAAGTAACAATTATTTAAACATTAGTCATTTAAAACTGAGAATGAGACACTGACGGGAGAGGCAGACACTTAAGAAAAATTTAGACACCTAGGGAAATGATCCAAGATGACTGAGCATAGCATGTGTATATCATCTGTAACCAATATTAATAATATTTCAAAAGCTAAAGCAAAAGGAAGTTGGATAACATTCAGGTAAATATAGGCTTATTACATTTTAAAACTGAAAAATAAAAAAAGACCATGTTTATTTGCTCAATAATGGAGTATTAACATGAAAGGCAACCTACTGCTTTCGAAATTAAAGCAGTTCTCTGTTTAGGAAAACACAGTCTGATAAACAAGATTTTGTGCTGCTTAAGACTTACAGCATCTAAGCTTTATAAATCAAGCTGTGACATCTACGAGAATCCTATTTTTATTTGGGCAAAATATTAAAAAATGCTGCCAAAAGCTAAAAATTGGTGAATAAATTGTAAGTATAGATATTATGAGACAACAAAAATAAAAAGACATTTCCATGAGCATAACAAAAATTAAGATAGATCTTATAGAATTTCCTAAGGCATCTGGAAAGCAGTTATTCAAATGTATTTTAATAAACTAGTATCACACAAACAGCTGTTAAAAAAAGGATTATATCTTAAGTTACCATGGATTCATAAAGAGAAATGAGCATTACAATATCTCTCTCTCCCCCCTGAAATTTTTACAGTGGAAGATTTCCTCTTTAATTTCCATGTGTCTGAAACTCAATACAATCTTCCTTCTTTATTCTTGTATTTTTCATTCTACTCAATTCTAAATTCTTGAGATGGAGAATCCCTTGTAAAAGGTGCAGCCACTACTCTCGGCATAAGATAAATAAAAATGGATTTTGACCTCTCATGTCTGGGTAATTCCTAATGGTAGCAACAGTCCATCACATAGAAAGACAATTTTATGAAGACAACAAAGTCTTTATCTCCTGTGAATGGCAACGATGTGTAATTTCCCACGTGCACCATTCAGTGGTTTCTTCCCTCATTCACACATTCTCTGTCCCTGTGATAAATGCAAGTCCTACAAAGCTGGCAGCATATGCTTTGTCTGCCTCGGGGTAAATTTCCATTCCTAAGGAAAATACCCTGTTTCTGTTGTCCTGTGATGGAGATATTTTGTTAGGAGGAAGGAAAACATATCTTCTGATTGCTGCTCCGCAATACATTCACATTTTATACCACATAGATACTGAATTAAAAATAAGAACCCTAGAGAAAATATAGATTTAACCATATATTTGCAGTTTCCTAGCAGTTTTCTAACCTGTAGGATGTCACACCTCCACTAAGGTCCTTTCAGTTCAGTTCTATGCTACTTCTGTACCTGCGTAAGCAGCAGGGGAAGAACACACCATAATTAAATATTTTGGATGCTGCTAGGTGTAGGTTCATCTTAACTTTCACACTAAGAGTAGACTCCAATCAACAGGTTCTCAAAGTGCACCATGTCCTACTGCAAAATGGCTGAAAATGCCCGGCTCTGTAGTGAATAACAGCTGCCAGCTTTGGCCAAGCTAATACTGCACACAGGGCACCACCATTTTTCAACTGATCTTCTAAACAGTTCAAATTGAACTCGCACAGAAAGCAGAGCAGGAGCTTAGGCAGACACGTCTGCATTCTAAATATCACAATACAGTCACAAAAAGCTCCTTATTCTCCAGAGGAGAGCCCTTTTAAGCATGCATGGAAGTCTACGATTCAGATGTTTTCAGGATACCCAGCAAAGGCACATAAATGAGTTCAGACATTGACAGGAATGGGAAGTTTTAAAGGCTGCTTTCTGCATTGCTGCATAAGGTAGAAATAGGAACTTATTTGGTAGCTTTAAACTACCTTGGCCTTAACATTATGTTCCTATATTTGTTAACAAATATGTAAATAATAGCAAAAAAACTACTTTGAGGTTTTTTTAAAGAAAACGTTCTGTAAATCCACTGGCTTAACGCTGGGGGACAAGTCACAAATTACACTGCTTTTTTTTTTTTTAATAAAATGGAAAGAAAATGAATGAAAAGGATTGGCTTTCCACTTCAGGTATACTCAATTATAAAGGGATAGTGGTTTCCAGAAGCCGTTAGAGCATACTGAGTCATGTTGTTCCCTCCCAAGCAGGCTGTTCTTTACTGCTATTGTACCTTGTATTCAGGATAGCCTTATTAATAATCAAATTGAGGAATGCACCACATGCTCTCAGATAAGCAGACAGAAGAGTCATAAATCTTGCCATTGATATGTGGACAAGCAGCCAAGCCAATCCCTATCTCCATCTAACAGCTTGAAAAATGCAGGTGGTTGGGTTTCTCTTTTTTAACACAGCTTATGGACCTGTAATAGGCAGAAACAGCAGTTTTCATAAGCAACCAGGCACATCCTAGAGGAAACGGCTGAATTTTCACTGCTACCTCAAAATTAAAAGAGAAAATTTAAAAAGTAGTAGTAAAATGTGTATTTAATGCTTAGTTTGCTTTAATGATCTCATACATGACTTCATTTACGGTATTAATGATATAGCAGTTCATCTCTGCCCTCTAATTTGGGAATATAGCATCCTATAGCCACAACTCAGTCTGTAGCTCATGAATTTCTGTTGACTGTGTACAGTATGTGACTGCTGTATAGCTCAACATTTCTTCAAGTTTTTACTATCATGCTAACCACTTAGCGAAAGTTCAGTAGATTTTAGTAGTGATCAACACCTGAAGAATCACAGTGATGAGGAACATTTAGAAAAGGCCAATCCAAGCCAGATATGCAAGAGCAATTGTAAAACAATCTTTAAATACTTTTGCAGTGATATCCAGGATAATTCAGATCTCCTAGTAATCTTTTAGAACTGCTTCTAAAAGTAAACTTTTAGAACTGCTTTTACCAAACCTGAAATTCGCTAGGGTTTTCCATCACACAGTTTTCACGTTAAAAAAATATTTATATGACCAAGGTTTTTTTTACCATAACCAATCTACAAAAATCAGTGTAATACTGATGCAGCAATGAATGAAAAGGATTGGCTTTCCACTTCAGGTATACTCAATTATAAAGGGATAGTGGTTTCCAGAAGCCGTTAGAGCATACTGAGTCATGTTGTTCCCTCCCAAGCAGGCTGTTCTTTACTGCTATTGTACCTTGTATTCAGGATAGCCTTATTAATAATCAAATTGAGGAATGCACCACATGCTCTCAGATAAGCAGACAGAAGAGTCATAAATCTTGCCATTGATATGTGGACAAGCAGCCAAGCCAATCCCTATCTCCATCTAACAGCTTGAAAAATGCAGGTGGTTGGGTTTCTCTTTTTTAACACAGCTTATGGACCTGTAATAGGCAGAAACAGCAGTTTTCATAAGCAACCAGGCACATCCTAGAGGAAACGGCTGAATTTTCACTGCTACCTCAAAATTAA